ATTGGACAATTTGGACAATATTTGAGGTGTAGTCAAATTCCAATCAATGCAAGACATGGAAGGTATTTAATTTATGCATAGGGGTAAAAATGTCCAATTTTGACATTCTTGCAACTCCTTAAAAAAGTGACATTTTGGTACATACATGATGGCAAAATGCCATTTGGTGTAATTTCCTCAATTAACAAATGAACTCATTGTCTGGTGAAAGTCCTCTCATTCATGGTTGGATCATCACAATAAGTTTAGACACAACTCATGCAGTATGAGAAGCACTTGAATTGCTTATATACATATGTGACATATCTTCGGAAGAATGAAGATAAAAATCATTGATCAATTTTTTGAACCAAATTGTGCATTTAGCCCCAACACATATTGCGGGATGATGTTAGAAACATCATACAACTTGGCAACAAAAATGATGAGGATCAAAGGAGCGATAAGGAGAGCAGGAAATCTTTAAGTGATAAGATTGTCAATTCAAACAAAATGATAAATACAAAGTTATTAATTTCTCATTTGATAGTTGTTATCTATTCTTTTTGGATAAACACTAGTTATAAAGAGTTGGTGAGCTTATTTTATTGTAAATAGGAATAAATGTGTGATAGGTACTCATGGCCTATATTATAATCAAGTCTTTTATTCATTTTTAAAGTTCTTTTCATAATTTTTTGGTCTTGTTATTGGCTAGATACAGCCCACTCAGTGTGGGAAGCACTTAAAAATTCGTATGCACGAGATTCGCAAGAACAAGAATTTACTTGCGACGACAATTAATATATCTTCGTAAAGATGAAGATAAAACCATTGTCGAACACATTTGCACGTTCAAAAGTCTATGTTACAATCTTGCGGCCATCGGAAAACCTGTCTCAGACCAAGAAAAAGTATTTTGTCTTCTCACTAGTCTTAGTCCCCAGTATGAGACTTTTACACTACCTTGCTTAAGCCTCCAACGCCTGCCTATTCAGAGTTAGTTTCACAATTGCAAAGTTTGGACCAACGACGAAATTGGTTTTCTGGTAATGCAGATAACACGGCTCGACAATGTTCTCCTCAACTGGCATATATGGCCAACAACAGCATGCTCAACGAGGATTTTGAGCAAACACTCAACAATTCATGTCAACTGGACGTGGATTTCAAGCTCAACAGCCACGGAGCAATAATAGAGAATATTCAGATACTTCAACACTTATCCCAAGGAAAAGTCATCATCTGCCTCCAGGTGAACGTCGCATGTCTCCTGCAGAAAGAGATCGTATCGTAAAGAAAAATGCCAGTATTGTGGGACAATGGGCCACATTGCAAAGATTTGCTTGTGGTTGCCCAAGAAGTCCACTAATAGTGAGGAGATCCCTCATGCTCTTGCAACTCTTACATTAGACAACACCATTTCAGATACATAATGGACATTTGACACTGGAGCTTCTAATCACATGACAGGTAAGCTAAGTTTGTTGTCTAATATTCATAAATATTGTGGATCTGACTAGGTGCTTATTGGAGATGCATCTTCTTTACCTATTGTTCACGAAAATATGTTTCGAGTTTGAATCACTGCAAGTGTACGGTTCGTTGACAAGTAATAAAGTGAAAATAGTAAAATTTCGAGTATCGTTCCCACGAGGATTGGTCTAACTTAATTTCTATGATTGTGACCTTAACCGAAAC